CCGCCTGGGTAGCCACCCTAAAATTCTCTGCATGTCACAATGGCATCCTGTATTTAAAACCAATCACAACATTTTTCAGGCACCAGGCATCATTCCTATAGACTACAGGTTTTGATATCTAATCCTCTTACAATTATGCTATTTGTACTTAGATCATGCATATTCTTCTATTTCAAATTTATTTGATATGTGATGGTAACAATGGTATCTTACCTATTCTAATACACCTCACACTACTTAATGCACTTCTTACTTCAGAGCCCTCAATACATAAAGACTAAATTGAACGTCATCCATTTGATTATACTGCCTAATTTGGTTTGGATATTACCATTTAATGAAATCTAAACAAAATTTCAGTCCAATTTTAGAGCATCACAGAGTAGAGATATAATACAATGTGGTGGCTGCAAGGTACCACACACTTGACATACAGTGTTCAGAGCAGTCTCTGGAACACAAACAGGAATTAATAGACACAGTGTCTTGGGCTTGAGTCTTGGATATACACTTTCTTAGTGGTACTTTGAAGGTAAGTTGTCTAACACTTCTAAAACTTAGGTTCTAGCATTTTTTTGGTGTTTATGAGACAGGGTTTCTCTGTATTGTTTTGGAGGCTGTCGGTCCAGCCCAGCCTCGAACTCACAGAGATCTGCCTGCCTCTGCCTCCTGAGTGCTGGGATTAAAGGCATGTGCCACCACCGCCCGGCTCAGGTTCTAGCATTTTAAGATGTGATAGCAATAGTACCTACATCTGAGAGATTTTATGAATGTCAAATCATATAATACATGTAAAACAAGTGTATCACCCAATAGAGATCACCTTAAGACAACTGACAATAGCATGATATGATTATTATAATCATAGAGTGTGGTGAATAATATTAATTTACTTACAGAGGTACAATGTCTCCTAAAATCTGACAAGTGATATTTGCTTAAAAAACAAATAGCAGTAGTTTAATAAACTTCCACAAATTAGGAAAGTAATTGACTCAAGATGCACACCTTCTTTTTGAGAATGTGTGAATTCCGTGGGGGTGAGGTGTAAAAGCTGGTGTTTGGAAAATAAATTAAAAATAGGCCTTTAAGAAATAAAATAAAAATCTGTGTCTTTTGGCATTGCTGAAGTACAGAAAACACATCTGTAGTTTTTAGAATTGATGGCCAGACTGAAAGCTGAGGTCCTTTGGTCCAGGCTGGGTTTAGCCACCCACAGTTTCAATCACTAGCTTCTCTGCCAAGATATTTGGGATTTTGTTAACCAAAATGTTAGAAAGGACTGCTGTAGAGAGAAAAGCTAGTCAGATGCAGGATTCAGTTCAAACTTCCAATTTTCAGGTTTGGATGCTTAAGTCCCATGTCTGATGATTCTTTGTTCACAGAAAAGTTCATTACATTGTTCCAATGTGGAACTTTTGGGATGAACAGTCTTGGCACAATAGAATATTTGAAAACAAGTCAGTCTATTTTTATGCTTCTTCGCTTGTCTTCACTATCTCTTTTAGTGGGAGGAAAATGCCTTTGCTGACCAGGACTCAAGGTGAGAAAGTGACTTTTTCCCTCTCAATCTCTGTCCAGAAAGCTAGAATGTTCCTCTCCCACACAGAAGGTAACAAAGTAAAAACCTAGGTTTCACATTAGACATCACATTCAATACAGCAGTCCAAATGTAAAAGGCAAGTGATTCTGTTATGTGTAAGAGGAAGCACTTCTGGAGAATGCTCATAACACTAATATGGGGGCCAGGTAACAAAGCAGATAGATTTTTAAACCACTGGCAGATAGATTTTAAACCCAGTCATGTGATATTAAAGGGCAAAATTTGGTTCTACATATAGGATCCTGTTTTCTAATTTCTTCTTTTTTCTTTTCTTTCTTCTTTTGAAGCACAGTTAGAATTCACTAAGGTTATAATTTTCATTTAAGCAAGGGGGTTAGAGGTGGGGAAGGGCTTGAGAAAATGACACTCAAGGCTGAATATAGACCTTAAAAAGAGAGAGTTGCACCTCTAGTGTCTTCCTATATCTCTTCCTGTCTTTCCCCATGCTTATCTTTATCTTTCTGGTGGTATAGCTCTACTATTGCAGATATATAAGCTTCAAGCACATAAGAGATACTGAGTGAGAACAGATGGCTGAAGACAGTTCTTCACAATTAATTTCACAAGCTTTTTAGTAAGGATTATCTTTTAAAAAAGTGTTTAAAATACTTGCAAGTGTCTTTTAACGGTAATGCACATTGTGACTCTTGTCACAATATAAAGTGCAATTTTACATTATACAATTACAATTTTCAGTACTTTCCTAGTATTTGATTTTTTTATCTCTACAAGCCCTCCTTTATAGTAGCATATTAGAACATAAATAGTCAGGAAGAAGCTTAAGTATGACTTAGATGCATCCAACAGTATACCAAATGCTTTGAAAAGGTAAATGAAAGCCATTCATTCTGTAAGTGTGTTCTTCATGGGTTTTTTTCAACACGGAAAACCATGGAATGACTCTTGGCCAAAAGGCAAACAGTCTCATAGTATAGTTAAATGTTTTCCTAAATAGAGAATCGTGTATTTAAATGGGTGTGCTCTTGCAAACTTGAGGAGATCATTGGAAGAGTTGTGCCATGCCTAAAATATAAAAGCTAAAAATACAGATTCTTCCTTCCAAGCTGGAGCCAGGATGGCAACAAATGGGATCAATTCATCCATTTCCCGTAGGATCCCAGGGTTTCATCAAAATATGGAGACTTTATGGAATACAATTACTAAAATAGCAATGCTTATATGTACATAAGACCCTTGCTTGCTAATTTGATGAGAGGGCAAGTAATCATTTATCAGATCAATTACTGTTGGTGGAACGCAGTGCTACTAGATTAAAATCTCTTTCTTGATTTGGTGAATATTTTGATGAAACTCAGTAAGTTTAGCCTTAATCATCTGGAGAAGAATGTAGTTTTCAGAGGTAGTTAGAATATAAGGGAAGGAAAGTGGAGAGAACAAGAGGGACAGGAGGAAGAGCAGATCCCACCAGAGGGTGTTTAGATGAGATACAAAGTCATGTACATTTCTTCAGGAGAGATACCCCAGGGGAAGACTTAAAATTACAAACAAAATGCTGAAATTTCTTTTTCAGTTATGTATATCACAGTGGTTTTACAATTTCTTTTATATCCATAGATCTTAAGTAATATCTAAAATTCACTGAAGAAACTGAGCCTGGAGCAATGGAATGCATGGGTAGGTCATGTGGGATCAGTGACATATCAAACACTGAAACAGTAGTGAGGGTTCAAGTCCTATGAAAAGAAAGATAGATATTCCGGGAAACAGCAGGGAAGGGCTTGCATTACTATAGGTATTAAACAGATGCTTTGCAATTGCATTTAAACCTCAAAGCACATGGAGATCCCAGCTAGGACACGAACAACAGAAAAAAAGTTCTTCCACTCTGGTGATCTGTGGCTCTTTCTATCCCTAAGGGCCAATAGCTCTTGGTTGGCTTGTAATTTTAATGCTCAATTGGCTACATCTATTTGTATGCTTTAAATGGCCTTTAAACTTTGCATGACTCTTAACTGCATAGTCTCCTTTTCCTACCCATCATTGTTTTTAGCTTCTGCCTTGATGAATGGCCTTCCACTCTACTTGTCAATCAAAAACCCCATCCTTTCTTCTTATTAGCACAGAGCTAAGCAGTCACTCTATGATCATATCCTTTGTTGTATATCATCCTCTTCCAAGTTTTCCTTACTTCCTCACTTAGTGTGGAGAGGCTTGCTAAAACTGCTCTAAACCACTTACCCACTTACCCTCATTCTGTCTTACAGCCTAAAAGACACTTCTGATCACTTAACAGTCAGACATCAACAGCTAGCTTTCTACCACTTGTGGGATAAAGTTCTCTGCAGCTTAGCTACATATCTGTCTCAACTATATTCTTGTCTTCTATAGTTTCCCACTGTCACTATCCACAAAGTTCTACAGGGTCACCTACATAATTTTAACTTCAAAGTTTTTTACCCTCATTTTCTTATCTTTCCACACAAGACTTTGACTCTAACCAAATCATCATCCTGTCTCATTAGCACAGTTCAAACTCTATTAAAATATTAAAATACATTGTATGAAAAGGATATGGGCACTCCTTTCTTATGTTAATGTTGTTTAATATTTTAACTGAAATGAATAATATGCATGGTTCTGGATATTGTTATCCTTACTGGAATAAGTTACAGAGATCGTTGATGATGTCTCGAATTATACCTCACAGGTGATCATGGCTCTATACTCTTAGCCAGTCTTGGCCAATGGCATGCTTTCCATCAGAGAACAATCCTTCTTTAAAAGGCAGAATGTGTAATGTACAGAGTAAAAGATGTAGCTTGAGAATGGGGTCTGAGTATCTTCATCATTTACTGATGAAGAAGCCTAAGGCGAAGTTTTATATTTTTCTAGGCATATTTTTAATCTGTAAGACAATATCTACCTCTCATGTTTGTTGTATATTAAATAGCATTCAGTATATAAAAAGACTGTACATAGCAAGAGCCTTCTATCATATAGTGTACTACACAGGTTCATAATCAGAGGACTAAACTTGCCTCTGGACTCGGAATATACATGGTTATACACAGATATGTATCACAGAAAATATATTAAAATTCTATGAATATTATCTTATTTGGGAAAAGGGTACTTGCAAAACTAATCGAGTTAAAATTAATTAATCAAGGAAGACCCTAATCCAGTATCATTTTATCCATATAAGAAAAGAGGCACATGAGGGAAAGACCATGTAATGAAGGTGTAGTTAGTGATGTATCTATAAACTAAGGGACAAGAACTGTCAGTCATCTTCAGGACCTTGGAAAGCCTATTATATTAAGTACCCTAGCAAACTAATGTACATTGATAGGAATTTTAGCTTCATCCCTTTTGTGTCCCATGAGTTGAGTTTAGACTACTAGACAATTCTCCTTGCTTTCTGAACGACACTTACCTTTCTGTGATTGTTTCTCTGAGGCCACTTGCGACTCCCTTGACCACAGTGCTTGCTTTGGGTGTCAGCACCACCTGAGATATAAAAAACGAGCCCTTCTTTCTTCTCTCGGTGATGGATGCCTGAAGAAACTGGATCAATTTCTCAGGATCTGTTGTGTTTGCCCAGGGTGCTGGCATCATCTGCCCAGGCCAGAGAAAGGGCACTTCCAATGCCACTGGACTGTGGTAGAAGACCAATACTTGATAGTCCTTCTCCCATAGGTACTTTAGACTCACTTCCTGGGCAAAAATGGCTGGGCACATTTTGTTTCCATAGATGTCTTTCAGCATTTGGACCAGTTTTTCATGGTGATATTTTTGCATACCATAAAAATGGTTGAAGTCCAAGAATACTACCTCTTTGTGGTGGTCTGTGAGAAAAGCATTGATCTCTTCAAGACCCTCATTGACTTTGGCACTGAATAAGCCGTGAGCGAAGTACAGTTCATTGTCTGGGTCTCTGGGCTTGGTGGAAATTCGGAGGTCAAAGTAGCGGATCCCAGCTCCTAGCTGACCAGTGAAACTCATCGTTTGAGTGGCTAACCACTTCCTCATCAGCTTCTTGGCTACAGTTCCAAACACGGACACAAAGTTTTGGACAGTTTCTGGCTGCTCGGGGCCTACTGGAGAGGCTTCATCAATGTAGAAGCTGAAGGAATCATGGGACCCTGGGAGAGAAACACGGTATAATGTGGTTAATTTCCAGTCTTTCATACAACTAATTTCTTTCCATCCTGAAAAGCATTCATTCTCCCCTCAAATGAGGCGAAAGAACTACAGTGAAATATTTACTTAATATCTATATGTTGTGGACTCTTTTGAATGGCCTCATGTAGGATAGAGAACATATCAGTTGATCAAAACTGATGGAAAAATAATAAATAATTCCCTTCAAACCACTTCAAAATTCATAGTCATCTAATATGAACTAAACTAGCCATGCCAGCAAGGATGGGCTTTCTACACCAGCAATCTAAGTAATGATTCATGAAGTGTAATGCACGTCATAAGGACTAAATACTTTGTCTTTAATTTTACCATCTGTGATAGTCAATATTGTCAATGGGACAGGATTTGAAAATCATCTAGGAGGATGGTTGTAGAGACAGTTGACTGATATGAGAGGATCTACCAAAAATATGGGCAGTAGCATGTCATGGTCTCGGGGGTCTAGACTAAAGAGAGAGAGAGAGAGAGAGAGAGAGAGAGAGAGAGAGAGAGAGAGAGAGAGAGAGAGAGAGAGAGAGAGAGGGGCAGAGAGAGACAGAGACAGAGAGAGACAGAGAGAGACAGAGGAAGAAAGGGAGAGAGAGTGAGAGTAGAATGGAGTATCAGCACTCTTCTCTGCATTCATCGCTCTGATTCCTGACTGTGAATGCCATGTGACCAGCTTCTCTATGCTCCTGCTACTACAGCTGGGACAAAGCTCACTCCTATTGTTTCACTGTCATTTACCCTCAAACTATGAGTCAAAATAAGCTCTCTAATCCTTAAGGTGCTTTTAGAAGTTATTTTGTCACAGCAGCAAGAAAACCAATACAACAGTTCCTTTTGTTCTAAACCTATAGGGATTTTCTCAATGAACAAAGAAGTCTTATGTCCAGGTGGACAATCAGAGTATAAATTCTTACCCTACACATTTGGGAAAACAAAAGAGAGATGATGAGATTGAGGAAGGAGAAGTAAGAATATAGCACAATTAACTTCCCTCCTGACCTTGTACTTGGCCAGTTGTGGACTAAAATGAGACCAAATACATTTTGCATACTGAATAAACAATGAAATTTCTTGTAGATGAATACAAAAAACTGTGCTTTAAAGATTATCAGTAGGCCAATTCTTCAAAGATATTTTCTTTCAGTATAAAAACCTCTCCATGGAATTATTTTCCAATTTATAAGAATTCCTGTCATCAGGTAACAAGAAGTATTTGTTTATTTATTTGTGAAAGTTCTAAGTCTCAAGTAATTATAAATGCAGTGACATGTTTATCATTTGCTTATAAGTATGAAGTATCATTGACATGTGATCAGGACCCACAGAGAAAATGATCTCAAGGTTGAATTTATTCTTCCAGTCTTCCTTGTTATAATTACTGAATCATTGAAATGGAATTCATGTATCCTGGATACTTCACACACCAGGAAAGGCAGATGGGTTTCCAGTTGTGACATGTTTTCTTCCACTTTCATGACCTTGTTCCTGAGCCATTATTTCCCATCTGTCACTTAACTTTTTCTTCAGTTCACTTTATTGTCTTGATTCTGACCTAGGTCCCACAAAGAACTGATAGCTTTTGTAAATCTTTGAATTCTCCAACATGATAACATCTCAGGGCCTTTGTCAAATAGTCTACTTGACATGTTTTTTCAGGGATGCAATTCTGCCTGCATTCTATAGCTGTACCTGTATGCGCCATCACCATGCATGTGTATAGCCATTTGTCTTTTCAGAGCTGAAACTACCCACAGCCAGAATTCAGAGAGCATCAACTTTGGATACTATGGAACATTCTGTGATAAAATAATTTGTAAATGTACTTTTATATTCAGAAAATTGTGACCTTTAAGGTTTAGAACAGAGAATATCTCAGAGTTTTTAGACTTCTTAAATAATGTAAGATAATCCAAACTAACTGAAATGCCATGTTGAATTTAATCTTAAGCTGTGTGATTTGTTTATCTTTAGTTAATGGTATGGGAAGAAAATGTCAGCCATTTCTGAGTAAATAATATTGGAAGTTTGCACCTGTTACTAGCATATTTTAATAGTTATTTAAATATTTGAATATTGATTTATTAGTAGCTGTTTATCTGATTACTAAGTGAAGAAGCTGAACAAACTGTACTGTAGATCAATAGACACAGAGAAATGTATGAGTTTAAGAAGAATTATAATTAAATGAAGTAAGATCAAAATAGTTAAATAATCATGTGCATCCTAGCAAAGTCAGAAAAGGTTCCTCATACAGGAAAGGAAACAGGGTGGAAATATTGGATACTTCTCCAAGCTTATAAAAGATGTTAATTATAATCAGGCAGAATGAAAAGAAAATATAGTTAGATTTATTATTCTATACATGAGCTTTTTGGGTGGTTTTATTTTTTTGCTATTTTTAAATTTTTCATTAGTATATCTTAGTTATACATAACAATGAGTTTCATTTTATTTTGACATTTTCATACATGTATATATTGTATTCGATCATATCCATTTTCCTTTCTTGCCCCCTACTCTTGCATATACCTTCTTATTCCCTTCTTAGTCTTCCAATGTCATGACCTTCCTTCCTTTCTTTCGTACATTTTTAATGTTTGTTTCCCACTGAATTTAATCACAGCTGGTTATAGCATCATAAATTAAGATTATCCACAGGATAATGCACACCTTACTAGAGTCTACAGGATAGGAAAACTCCTTTACTTCTCCCCAACAACCATTAACTGCATTTCTATCCCCAGGGAAGGTTAGGCCCTATTATCTCACTATTCTTCATGATTTCTCAGTTATGGCTTTAGTTTCACCTTTCTATCATGTATTAGCATAGTAAATATTTTTAATAAGAAAATAATAAATTTTTAAAATCATGTTAAAATAAAAAAATGGTTTATGTGGTTTGTTAGCCTTCAAGGAAAGTATGTCATTGAGGTCAAAAGATGAGAACATCAACAAAAAAAAGTTAAAATTCCGCTGAAAGAAACAATTGATGCCCCCGCCAATATTCCCTTTAAGCTAGGTGAGTCCATGGCATACAAAAAGCAACTGATGGGGTGATGTTTTGTAGGCATTATTTGGTAAAAGAGTTAACTCAGTTCATACAGAGGACAGTCTAGACATTGGTGTGGGGGCACATAACCTAACAAGGGCTCTCTCTAAAGGAAGTAGCTTAATGACTTGAAATTCTATTTAGAATGATCTTTCCTAATGTCAGTGTTTTCACTAAACTCCTTTCTATTGGTTTGACCTTAAAAATAGAAGTCATATCTTATGACCACTGAAAAAGAGACAGAAAATGGTGTCCTAGTCTTGTCTCTTTAAAACTAGAAAGTTCTCCTCCTTTGTTAATCTTGTGCAGTCTGTGATCTAATCTTTTGTTCTGTGCCAACTCTGTGTTCCTGGACTCTTGACATCTCATGTTCTGCCTCCAACTAACAACCTGAACCTAAATGAACCCTCACTATTCATACCTTATTAAAGTTTTTAATTTCTGGGCATGATAAGGTAAATATCCATTTGATGATTAAAAATATCACTTAAGAGCTTCATTTCACAATTGAAACAAAGCTTATAAGAAAAAAATTAAGTATATGTTCTATAAGCCTAAGTAAATTAACTTTCTATAGTCTAACTGTTCCTGAAGATTGGTTGTTTGACATAAGAAAGGGGTCTTATTTTTGTGACCATTTTCTGGGACAGAGCAAAGGTGGTCGGAGTTGCCTCCATGCTCGATGAGACATGGCATCTGGAGTGAAGTTTCACCTTTTGTCTTTCCAACATCATTTCTTCGTGTGTGTTGAAGCCCTTTAAGCAATCATGGCGGACTTTCCTTCCCCGACTTCACAGTTCATCTGTCTACAACAATTTCTAATTGTCACTGGGTGCCAAATGTCGCTACTGGTACATGATTATGTTTATGAACTTCTTCTTATATCATTATGAGATAAAATAGTCTTATGGCTTAGTTTCCACCTAAAACTACATATACAGACTTGATTTTAAACTAGACTGAAATCTCAAGAAAATAAATAAATAAAAACTTTCATATTAAAAAGGTACCCTCTAAATCTCTGGGTTCATTGCAGCATCCAGCTATACAAACACAAAATATTTTATCTCTATCAATTGGTGAAAATGGTTTGCACAGGAAACAATACAGACGTGAAGTAACTACTCTACTAATAATCATTTTTACATGTTAGGCCAGACCAGGCCAATTCACACACCTCCATCAGGCCTTCTTCCTCTTACTGAATTTGTCTGGGCCATCTCAGAAGATCAGTTGGTGAGGGCAAGTCTGGCTCTCTATCAACTCTGGTCCTTTCTCTTACTGTATAAGACTGGGTACCGAGGCCTTTGTGAAATCTTAGGAATATTGCAGATGACTGGGAAAGACAGTTTTCCTGTCACCTCAGTGACTTCATTGCTACTTCTTGTCACAGAGCCTGGTCGGTACATAGCTAATGCCACCAAAACAAAATTAAAAAAAAAACACACACACACAACAGGAAATTATGCTCAGCCATTCCGAGGCACTTGGTACTGGTATACTTCTTAGAATATTTAACTTTTCCATAGTTTCTTCTCTCTTTGCCATTGTTTTCTTTCAGTCTCCTTCATTTTCTCTTGTTCTTACAAGCTATGACCTTAGGTTTCTTAATTCCTTTTAGGGATCACATCCATTTTTTAGTTTCTTTGTCTTTCTATGGATGTGTCAAAAAATCAGCACCATCTATTTTGGTCTCAATTCAGGACCTCTCCTTATCTTAGGAAAATAAATTTCATTGCTTTATTCATATCTTGAATTTAAATGTCCCAAACAGAACTCAGTGTACTTCTAGACATGTCCTTCCCTGTGTTCACCAGAATATGCAATTATCTCAGTAACTTCTGTCTTTTCCTTGAGTTTGTCTTCAATTGTTTTACGGCCCTCAAGCCAGCCAGGCTTCAA